ATTGGGTCTATTTATGGATGCAACTTCGTCCTATCTTGTTTGATCCTCAAAAAAACGCTCTTGGTAACGTTTTCTGATGTATTTTTTTTATCACTATCACTGTTAACTTAATGCTCTTCATTCCTCAAAACATTTCTTAGAGAAAATTTTACGAAAACTACATTAAATCACTCAATTTAAAAATTAAAAATTAAAAATTTCGCTTATCGTCTTTTGACCGCAGAATATCTAAATCAGAACATTGTGATGTTCATTATACAGGTTTGGCAGAAAAAATCTCCCTTCCTGTTCGTTCCTTATCATCCAAATGCAAAACAACATTGTTGACGTTACTCTTATTGCTATATGCTGTCAAATGAATTTCATGGGCCATAGTTAGGAACATAGAAAAGAAATGTGTCCCTAAAGTTGGGTCCATGTTTTACTTGTGAAAACGTTGTTAAACAATTAAAATAAACATAAAATATTCAAACAGCAACTGTAAGTTTTACGTCTAGTGTGTATTATCAGGTAATTCCAATCAATAAATGCCATAATCAGGCCATTTGATGATCGTCAGTCAACCTTCCCATCTTAACCTTATAAGTCATGGCGGCTAAAAACTCCGAACATTGTGATATTCTCAACCAGTTTTATTACTTACGAGAGCTGAAAATGTATTGAAATGTTGTGATATAAATTGATTTGTGTGTGGTACACATTTATCAACCATCAGTGATCAATATTTTCCTTATTTTTTGTGTAATATTCCTTAATTAATTATTTATTTGCGTGATAGGCCGAATGAAAGGACTAGACCCACATTACATACCGTAACCCTACTTGTGCATTTCACAAACGTCAGAGAAGTTTATATATTTCGATAAGGAACAAAACTACCAATTCTGGCGAAATTCTAAGAACCACTATATCGTTTTGTTAAGGAATGGCTGATATATAGATAGAGATAGAGATAAAAGAGTAAGAAGCCAGTTGTCTCCTCTTCCTCTTAGGTTAAAATCAGCCGTGATTTTCAGGGCCACTTAAAGACATTCTTGATATTTTCAGCCCACATATTGATAAAAGAAGCTTTTATCTAGCATCTAATACGACAAACACAACAAGAAACGGTTATGCGCTCAAGTTATTAACGAAAGAGAATCGATCAATGTTACTTAGCACCTAATGCAATGTTCAGCTTTTCAGCATCCACAAAATATGCATAGCTACATGAAATTGCTACTCCCTGGTGGCTGCGCTACAACAAACAGAAAGTAGCAATTCCAAAATTGTACTGCATTCCATTTTAAGAATTGTCACTTAAATTTGACACATTAAAATATTATGTTCGAAAATCCCTTTGTTGCTTGATTCCTTGTCTGTCAGAAATAAGTCTGCTGGAATCAAGGGGGGAGGCGGCTGTCAAATACGAACAATCGTCGCCTACCTCGCATGCCTCGCATAATTGGTTCCAAACGTAAACAAGCCATAAGAAACTTACAGCGTTTGTTTAGTTTGGAACCAGTTTCATACAAGAATGTTCAGTAGGCTGATTCGACAGCACGTCCCCCCCAGGCTGGAATAGACCTTTTTGACGTTTAATCATCTTTCTCTATCTAGCACACAATGATGAATGGACGGTTTTTTTTCCCACTAATGTGTTTCCCTCTTGCTCGCACTCGTTCGCTTTAAATGGTACAGTAGTGTGCGCCGATTAAACGTCAAAAAGCTCTATAGCATGTTTATTCGGAAATTTTCCATCTGTCAAATTGAAGTGAAAATTCACCAAATGGAACACAGCCTTCCCAAGTAACATTGCAAGTTTTATCAATGTTTTAAAGCGTTCTACAAGTCCAATTAATGATCTACAGAACCCTCATAAAACCAAAATTGTTACTTGGGTTAGAGCATCACAGGGGCAACAATAAAGAATTTCTTCGTAGTTCACATCAATGTGATGAATATAGGGGTTAGGATAACTGTAATAGACTACTCTTTCTAGCATCGAGCACGCGATTCTAGTGCAAAAGTCTTATATTGATTTCTGGAGTCCTTTTTGATTGGGTCGTATGTAATATTTTTGTCAATTAGAAACACGAAGTATTTTGATTTGGTAAACAAAAAATTGTTTCTATTTTCAATTAAATAGCTAATTTCTTCAAAATGCCCATTTACTAACATCTTAGGAGTGCTTCTATCGACTGTGTACACGGAACCAATTATTTTTTTCCATTTAAATCAAAAATATTAATGTTCATTATAAAAACATATGAGTAATTCAAAGTAAATTTAAAATCAGTTATTTATTTTTTCAGATTAAAATAAAAGCATTTTTATTTCAACAATATAGGATTTGGGTAAACAATTTTTAGCGTGTCCTGCCTTGTTTACATTCGGCAGAAATTGGCTCAAGTCTCGGAAATCATCTATGTAAGTAGGTCATCTGAATACGTGAAACCGAGTAAATGGACGTGAAACCGAATAACAGGACCCGGAAACCCATCTAGGTTAGTGTCCAGATGAAATTCTAGCTCGATAAAACCGGCGGAACCCCACAAAATCAACGCCATTCCATTGTTTCAGATGCCGATCCCCATATCACCCTTCCCCAAGACATCGAAAGAAAAACGACAATCTGAAATCGATTCTGAATCCATTCCGGATCATCTCCCTTCTCCCGACACCAAACGTAGAAAGAGGACCAACGCAACGTCAGAAACGACAAAACGACGCCAATCCCATAAAATTTCACCGATTTCACTGAACTGGAACCCCCGGGCACTCAACCTGACAGGCCTTTTGGAACCCGGACTAGAACACCACCATTTACATGTCCCGTCTGCAGGCCTTTCTTTTATTTATATGCTATGCATTTTATTTTCTGTATCTCGCTTTCAAATACTAAAATAGTTTAAAAATTTTGTTCGTTTGTTTTAAAAATAAAAAAAAACATTTTGAAAATGAATAAATTTATTTTTGTTCACTTTGACAACAAAAATTTTCACGTTTATTTTAAGCTTGAATATTTTTAAAATAAACGTAACATTATTTTAAACGTCGATTGTATTGACTTCAAAAATGAATTAAATTTACCTCAAATATTTTTGTTTTGACGATAGATTTTTCTGCCACCAAATTTTTTTCATTTAAATAAAAAAAATATAGATGTCTAATGTACAAAAATATAAATAGTTCAATGTAAATTGAAAACACGTTTTCAACAAAAATATGTATGTTTGAATTAAATTCAAAAGCATGTTTATTTCAACAATACATAATCTGGGTAAACAATTTTCAGCGTGTTCTTTTTTGCTTGTTGTTTACATTCGGCAAACTCAACCGAAAACGGGCTGCAAGTGGCGAAACCGAAAGTAAGTGTTCCAAGCTCGACAGAACCGGTGGAACCCCTTAATATCAACGTCACTCCGTCGTTTCTGATGCCGATTCCCATATCATCCTCACCCCCACGTCGAAAGAAAAACAGATAATTTCCAAACGTAGAAAGAGGCCGGTATGAGGACCAGCGTCAGAAAAGACAAAACAACGCTAATATTAAAAAGTTTCGCAGGTTTTACCGAACTGGAACCCCCGGACACCCAATCGGACGGCCCTTCTGATCTCGGACCCGGATCCCAACACCCATAGACCACCCTTAATTGCACCAAAAAATAGCAGCAATATAGATGCCCTGTCTGCTGATTTCAATTCATTTGCTATGCATTTTAAATATTTTGTTTTATCCCGCATTCAAATGCTAAAATAATTTCAAAATATGTTTTTTTTTTTATTTTAAATATGAAAAGTATGTTTAAAATAAACATATTTATTTTTGATCACATATAGTTGTCAAATCAACCAAAAATATTCACGTTTATTTTCAACACGAATATTTTTAAAATAAACGTAACAATATTTTTGCTTTAAACGTTATTAACAATTGACTTCAAACATGGAATACGTTTGAAATCAACTTAGTTTATGTTTGTGGCCAGAACAACCTGAGTTTACGTTAAAATATACCACAAATATGTTTGTTTCGACGGTAAATTTGTCTGCGTGTAGGAAGAGTAAGCAGAGTAGTGTCGGGTAAAGAGCCTGCATTTATAAAGAAGCGACATCTTATCCATTTGATAGGTCTTCTACTCGATTGGAGTGCCTTTTCCTATGACTTTGACAGATAATCGATTGTTCCAATTTTGACATGTCTTCTCTTTATAAATTCAGGCTCTTTAGTGTCGGGTAGCATTAAAAATTTTAATTTAATTTTATGTCAATTTTTTTACGATTGTTACATACGACCCAATCAAAAGGGACTCTAGATTTGTTCTGTCATACCTCCGTTAACGCTGTCAGTTTGCCCAAAAATGTCAAAATCATGTGAACTGCACTGCATCTCAGGGGAAACATGTCAGAAGGGTATAACTCGAAACGTAAACAATGACTTTGAACGTCGATTTCTCTTGAATGACCACACACCCACGGAATCTAACAACACTAGCTCATAGAACAAACGTTTTTCTGTTAGTTAGTTTGAGTGGGTGTGCAGTCATTCGTAAGAAACCGACGATCCAAGTCATTGTTTACGTTTCGAGTTAGACCCGAGTTGATCTATATGCGGTTGACAGGGATAAAGTCCCTGTCTTAAAGATGCATGTCAAATTATGATGGAGAAATTTGTTCATCGTAAGGAACGACAAGAAAAAGAAAGAAGATGTATGATCCCTTAAAACAGCAATATTGCATCTTCGTGCACCACGTGTTCATTTGTAGATCAATATTCAACTTAAAATTGTACTGTGTCTGTGTTCAATATCAAATGGAAAATCAACCTTGCCAGCCACGTGTTTCAGTACGTCAATAGTGACCCAGCATTACGTAAGGTATTTAACACGCAACATACACCGTGTTTTAATATCTCACCCACGCGCTCGATTGCTGTTCGTATTGCTTTCTTTCTTAATTTCTTTGGTTCCGTGTACCCTAAACAAACAATTACAAAAATAGGTACCAAACATACTCACCGATCATCGTTCCGACAATTAAAGCCACCCCACTGAAGAGTCCCACCCGTCTCTTGAGGTGAATAAGGTCGTTCTGCGCTGAGCCCGACCCCTCCAGCGAGTCCCGCATCCCCCCGGTCCCTGTGGGAAAGAAAAATAGAAAAGAAAATGAAAGTGATAGGCGAATAGTTTACGTATTCTCGTCAATACAAGCAGTGTGCGCGTTTCTATTAGCAATTTATCAGCGTCACGCACACATATGACGCGTTTGTTTGTTTACATTTATCTGCTGCTTGCTACTCTTATTCTATTCTAATCGACACAATTGTCCAGAACGATTTTAAAACGTATTGACAACGCTCCAAACTTTTCAGGTAAGTGTGACTATTGTCGGCATTATCTTTTTCTTCGGCAACCAATCCATTTGAACTCCGTGTTACGAGTTACCTCTATGGTGTTACCTAGCTGTTATATTGTCGTCAACTCGGAATCAGACGTATTTTGTAGTACGTATATTTCATTTCAAGAAAAACCTGGCTTAACAGGTTTGCTCAGTCGTAAAAATGTAATCAAATTGAAACTGAAACAATCTTTTAAATAGATTCAGCTAAGTATTTTAGTGAAATTAACGTTTAAATTGTGGTTTCCATGTTTCCAAAAACAATCAATGGGTGTTTACCCTATCATTAAGTTACGTGCAGTTCGTTATGCAACGGTAATGGTGGCAATTTTTGACCTTCGGAAATTTGTCGGTCAAATACTTCAAGTGCAATTAAACTTGTGCTTCGAGTACCCAAAATCCATTAACATGATAACCAACTTGTGTAAAGCCCTTCCTCCCTTCTTGATAAGCAGTGACTTCTGTTTCCCGCGACTACTTTTGGGTGGGTATCACCCATTCAGTTTTTTCATATTTCTAGACGAATATGTGAAAAGGGCCACGCCACATGTTAACAATGACTTTAAACGTCACCTCTACCATCTACGCTAATTGACTACTCCATCTGATAGAGTAAACTTCCTATGCCAGATGCTGCTGTTGGTTTGCCTGGATGAGTCTTCATCCGCGAGAAATCGACCTAAATCATTGCTTCCGTTTGGCTCATTGGCCCTTTTCACATTTTCGTCTAGATTTGACACGAAAATTACGTTTACCAACTGGTGACAAACGATTTCGGAAGGAGCGCTGTTGGGTAGCGGAGTGCGAAAGCTTAATGAGCATGAGAGTGTGGATTTATGAACGGTCGTTAAGAACGACGACAAAAACGGAAGGAAAAGTTTCTTGCGAATCGCAAGTTTTTTTTTTCGCACGCAGGAAAAGTGTTTCCTCAGGGCGACGACGACGGGTGCTGACGACGACGACTTTTAGATTATCACTTGGCGTTGGCACTATCGTTCATTGCGATTTATGCGTTGTTAAAAATTGTTGTCGTTAAAATTATGTCATATATTTAAGGTGTTTCCTTGTAGACTCCATTTTTCTATCACACCTCGCAATTTCAAGAGCATACAACTCAAGATCTACGAGGTTTACAAATCAGCAAATTTCAGACATTACTTGCTTCTCCGCAGCAAACAACAAGTAGAAGTTTCAGCCAGGCATGGAAAATCATTTGCATTCATTTCGTGCATTCATTTACATTAATTTGCCGCTAACTTTTTTCATCAACAGAATTCCGCAAAATGAAGTATTAAGCTTTTGTAGGTTTTGTTATTAGCTACAACTTTTGTTAACAACTCAAATCCGTATCTCTTATGCATGACGAACCAGAGCGAACAGAAGCCACTACTATTTTTTAAGTTTGGCCCGCTCTAATTCGTGATGCATAAGAGATACAGATTATAGTTATTAGCATAAGTTGTAGTTAATAACAAAACCTACTAAAATTCAATACATCATTTTGCAAAATGCTGTTGATGAAAAAAGTTAGAGGCAAATGAATGTAAATGAATGCATGAAATGAATGTAAATGATTTTCCTTGCCTGGTTTCAGCTACGTGCATTCACAGAAACATTAATATTTGTACTTGTGAAATTGCGAAGTGTATCACGAAAAAGGACGCTACAGGGAATCAACTTAAAGTTCGTTTAATTCCTTTAGGTAATCAACACAATATTCATCATTTGAAATTAGAGTTTAAACCCTCTGCGTGAAATAAGTTGCGAATAAGTTCTCTAACTTTTGACATACAATTAATTATTAGGTCAAGGCTATTTTTCACACAGATGGTGCTGTTACATTGGTAAGAAGTAATAATAATCCCCCCCTAGAAGTTTTGAAAAGTGGAAATAATACGCTTTTGATTCATATCCAGGTCAACAAAAGAGAACGAAAACCTAAAGAATTCATTCGTGGACTTTGCCATTCAGTTAAACAAGCTACAATTAAATAAAACAAGTTTTCTCCCATAAATTTTTACCCGGTTACCGGGTAGTCCCCAAAGAGCCTAAAAATTGAAATTTGAGAGAGCTCATGCCATGACACACGATGTGTGATTTCCCTCCCACAGACTTCAGAATAGAGTAGCTGGCACTGAAAAAGTTGCCAGTGCATTTTATGTATTAAGATTAATTATTAAGATAGATATATTAAGATATTATTTAAGCATTAAGATTAACATCCAAAGTCCCTCCTTTCAAGCATAGTCCATTCTATGCGCACGATTATTGATGATCCGAAAGTGAGAATAACAATAACAAACCAACATTTTTGGCTGAAGCGAAAGTGAGCACGGCAAGAAAAAAATACTCAAAATTAAGTTTAAAAAAACTCAACGTTGGGTTCTATCATTTGAGGTCTGCCGTTGAGTGAATCAGAAAAGCGGCGTTGGTTAAAATTTACTCAACTATTGAGTAATAATAAATGAACTCAAATATAAGTTTATTTTCATTGAGGTTGCTTTTATGCGCATTTCATTTTCACAAGCGTTGATAGACGAGTGGTCAACACACGGGCCCCGTAATCTCAACGTCCATGGTTCGGTTCCAGTCTGCTCCGTTTTATAATTTTTTTGTCAACACCAGGATTACTCAAAATTGAGTTTTTTTCTTTAACTTAATTTTACCTAGCCCCACGGAAGCCACGTGATGAGTGAAAGGAACTCAATTTTGGGTACTTTTTTCTTACCGTGAGGATACCAAACTTCACACTTCAAAATTGGATTACCCAAGTATGCGTGTTATAAACGTCAGAAAGGTCAATACTAGACCAACAATTGAAATAAGCGGAACAACCAAACGTTAACAATGGCTTTAAACGCAAATTCCTCGAGAATCAAAGCACATCCAAGCAATCTAACACCGTCATCTGATAGAGCACACTTCTTTTATCGAATGACATTGTTAGTTTGCGTGGGAGTGTTTTGATTCTCGGGAATTTTGTGTTTAAAGCCATTGTTTACGTTTGGTTGTTCCGCCTATTTCAATTGTTGGTCTAGAATACTCCTTTCTATTAAGCATATTAAACACAAAAATGCTTCCTAAGACCCACTTCTAACAGGATTTCCTGCCTTTTCTCTGATTGGAGCGGGGCTTAGGAAGCATTTTTTCGTTGATTATGCTAAAATGGAGGGACTTCGGATGTTAATCTAAATGTATATATACTTCATCAGCTTCATGCTGCAGTATGCTTCATCAATAAGTATGGACCGTGAAGCCATTAAAATTTCCAATTGACACGCTTGCTTATTCAAGAGCAAGAGCACCGAGTTCGTTGAATTCCTCAACGAACAAAACATCAATATCGCCATCATCACCAAAACGCACCTGAAGCCCGAGATTAACATCTTCCTTCCCGATTTCCGGCTTGTGAGGCTAGATCGAACCAGCTCCGGGGCAGGAGGAGTGGCCATCCCTCTAAGGAGGAACATCTACTGTCAGTGGCTGCCGAGCTTCCAGCTGAAGATAATCGAAGCCGTAGAGGTGAAAGTTCCTACTCCTGTCGGCCCCATCACCATCGTTGCGGCTTACTGCCCCAAACACGACGGCGGGAAAACTTCATCATTGCTGGCTATCAAACTTTGGGCAACAATTGGCGCTATAAAAAAGAGACCATCCTGTACAATAACCTGCAGGAAGCGCAGTACAACATCTTGAGTTCGGACACTCCCACCCGGTTGAGTAGTTCCGGTTCTCACGCTACCATCGACATCTATATCATCAACTTGGCCAACAACATCTCGCAACCTGTGGTTTACCAAAAACTCAGCTCCTCCGTGAACCAACTCGAAGTTTCCCGACGCAACTATCACCACGCCGACTGGGCGCAGCTCCAACGCTGCGTTGACACCAGTATCAGATATGACGTCCAGCCAGAAACGATCGACGACATCGACCTGTTTCTGCGCTCTATGAATGAAGCGATTTCCCGGGCCATATAGCAACATGTGCCATTATACAGACAGGTGAGTAATATTCTGACCCTTGACAGGCCCACTAAAGACCGCATTAGACTCCACAACACCATTCGTATGCAGTACCAGCGTACCTAACCTGAAGACCAAATGCAACCGTTTAAACAAAATCATCCAAGCCAAGGATGGTGGATCTCAGAAATAACGATTTTGCAAACAAGATTCGCTCTCTCCCAGATTGTGCCAAACCATTCTGGAAAATGGCAAAGATTATAAAAATAAGCCGAGGCCCATCCCTCCCCTTTCCACTCTTAATCACAATTCGGATCCATCCTTACTCATTACCCCAGTTGAACAGGCCAATGCTCTTGGTCAACACTTTGTGAATTCACATAACCTTGACCAAGTCATGGTGAGTCCCCACGAGCCTGCAGTATCGGAGGCAATGTCTAGAGTTGCTGCCACCCCCGTAGGTGTCCTTGACGAAAGTAGAATATCGGCTGATGAGGTGATAGCAACCATTAAATCAACCAAGAACATGATGGCCGCTGGCGTCGATGGAGTGGTCAACTTCGAGTTGAAAAACTTGAGTGTTGACTTCTTCGAGCACCTTACAGCGGTGTTTGGTGCTTGGCCACTTCCCTGCATGCTGTAAGTTAGCCAAAGCCATTCCAATCCACAAGTGCCAAAAGCTATCGTCCCATTAGCCTCTTGTCCTCCAGCTCGAAGCTATTCGAAAAGTTGGTACTCAGCCGTTTGCTGGTGTTTTCAAATAATAATAACATCTTTCTCAAAGAGCAATTTGGGTTTAGGTAAGGGTTACTACATAATCAAGTGGAACAACTCCGTTTTTAAAACATCTGCCATGGCATTGTTGGACGTTGAGAAGGCGTTCGACAATGTCAACTTCCTGATCTTCCTTGTCGGACAGATCATTCCAGGCCTTCTTGAACAATTCTCCTTCTGATACGTTCAATGTTGATGCTGGGGTTCCTCAGAGTAGCCTTCTTGGTCCTATCTTCTTCAACATCTTCATGCCAGTTGTTTCTCCCCTTCCGGGTAATGGTGTTTTGTCAATGTTTGCGGGTGACACTGCCGCTAAGTCATACGTGCTCTAACGAGAAAACTCCAATCAGGCCTGGATGGTTTGTCCGACTATTTCAAAAGCTGGAAGATTTGCAGCTAAAATATAGACGATACTATTTCCGCACTCCAATTCACCAGGCTTGTTCCACCTGGTAACTTAAAAGTCCACTTTGGTAATACTCCCATTGAATATTCGAGTGATGTCGTCTACCTTCGTCTCACCCTTGATAGCATGTTGCTGTGCCGTTACCATGTGGACAAAACATCCATCAACCGCGCTGCCCACATATCAACAGAAAGTCCACACTTTCCCAGAAACCAGCTTACCGTCCACTAGCAAATCATCCTCCCAGCGATTGAGTACGGAACGTAAATCTGGGAGGGCTGTGCTAAGTGCCAACAGCTTAAACTTCAAAGGATCCAGAACAAGATCCTTAGGATGATCCTCAACAGTCCCCCACGGACTTGAAGTCTGAGATCCACCGCCTGGCTGGTCTTCAGACACTAGAGGAGCGGAGTATGCTCAGTTTCGAAAGGTTCAGAGTAGACGCCTGTCTGAGATCAAATCACCACATCATACGCAATCTTGCCAATTAGGTTAAGTTGTTAGTAGTTAGGTAAAATATCAAATTATTTTTTAAATTTAAGCAAAACGCACCCCAAGGGGTTTTCTGTCGACTAGTTGAAAAATGCAAACACGTAAATTAGAATAACAAATTAAACAAAGATGAAGAGTCCTTCAGGCTTATCAATTGGAATTTTTGAACAATGTAAAATCATAAACAATGGAAAATTAACGTAATTTTAATACTACTGTTTAAAAATGTCAATTAATCTATTAAGTAGTCTGTTCAAGGCATTTAAAAAAATTGAAAATATGAAAAACTTTCGAAGTCTCTTTTGAAAAAAAAGATCAAATCCCGGATGTTAGATTTGTTTGACCTATTGTGTAAACCTGAATTACTTTGGTAATGCTCTTGAAACTCTTCATTCATTAATTCATTCATTCTCATGAATTTCCTATCAATCTTCTTAGAACTTCTTGAAAACTTTTTCAGATTTCCATTCTCTTATAGTTTGTTTACATCACACTTTAATGCCATGGAGCTATCTTCGAACTGTCCTGAAAATGCCCATCGATATCTTTGATTCCCTTGAAATTTTCCTCGGAATTGCCAATAAATCTTTTCTCAGAATTCTCTTGAAACCATCTCAAAAACTGTACGAAAGTTTCCTCAGAATTTGATTCGTTTAGAATTCTTCTCAGAATTCTCCTTGAATACCCTTGGAACTCTACTAATAATTATTTTTAAGTCATCCGCAAAATTTCATTCTCAACTCTCGTCTAAATTACCTTCACGGGGAGAAATGAGACTAATGAAACATCTAAAAATATGGTTGAAATTTGTTGATTCAAACTGAATAGTTCGCAATTTTGTTTGAAACAAAATAACTTTTTTTAGCTAGATTCAACCCATGATGTCTTCTGATATAAATTTAGATGTGTATGCGCAATGGCGATTAGCAGTCTAGATTAGTACATTCTACGATCTACAATACATTTTAGAACGTTGCACATGAGATGCCATCCATTATTCATTTACATGTTGGTACACATGTAAATTATTGCAGAATAATTGTTTGTTATGGGTCATCATTTGTGTTAACATTCGGCCATTTTGGATTTTCCAATTTTTTTCAAAATTGCAAATTCGATCTTTTTTAATAAATCCTATAAATCTAACACTCTAATTATTAATTGGATAGTTAGTGATGATGGTTTCAAAATTTTACACGGTGAGGTGCAATCTTAAAATGCTTTTATTTTGGAAGTGGAGCATGCTACGTTAGTAGAAAACTTAAGGACTACTCAATAGACATATACCGTATGCGTGATAATGTTTGCAACATTGAACAAAGTCAAAATTAAAAAAATTCTCAAAAATTTTCGAGTTTTTTTAATTTATTTAAAAGGGGGATGTTTCTCAGAGTCTTAAACTATGTTAATCATCGATCGAGTTCCCACTTGCTGAAACTTACGGCCTTCACACGCTTCCGGAATGCACGGCAGGTTCTAATAATGTAGTGTGGATCCATTTCCCTCCAGGTACGGGTCAATGTTTGTCTGAGGCTTGCTGTACTCGGGTGGCGTTTTGAACAGGCCTTGGCCTTCATGACACGCCATATTGAGTAATCCAGCGGATTAAGATCGGGGCAGGATGGCGGCCACATATCCTTCGCCCAGAACGGAAGATGTTCCTGCAACCACTTCTGAGTGCGGTACGATTGCACTCGTATCCTTCCCCGTGGAAAATTTTGAAACCATCATAACTTTCATAGTTCTTCTATTCTTCTCGAGTGCTAACTTTGATTTGCCAATTGCTTCTTTTGAATTTTTCAGATGCAACTATTCAAAAAACATATTTTTAACTGAAACTTTTTAGAGTTGGTTGGAAATGCTAACATGTAGCTTTAGTGTGATGATTTATTAGCTAGAGAATGATCTTTAGAAGAGGGTAGGTGGATAGTTCCGTTAGAGTACGGCAGTATGAAAATTGAATAGAAGTTGAAAATGAGCGAAGGGCCATTAAAGCGACAGTTTTCAAGATAGACGCACATTTTTGCCTAGCCCGTACGATGTACGCGGGGACTTGAAGTATGTCTCCAAGTCCACAGGCAAAAATGTGCGTCCCTCTTGTTGCTCATAAACTGACTGCGGCTGTGGAATAGTTCTAGCGACGTTTTCATCACTACCTAAAGCCCCACGTTGTGAGAGCATTTCCAGTCGATGCCATTTTTGCCTGTGGACTTGGAGACATACTTCAAGTCCCCGCGTACATCGTACGGGCTAGGCAAAAATGTGCGTGTATCTTGAAAACTGTCGCTTTAATGGCCCTTCGCTCATTTTCAACTTCTATTCAATTTTCATACTGCCGTACTCTAACGGAACTATCCACCTACCCTCTTCTAAAGATCATTCTCTAGCTAATAAATCATCACACTAAAGCTTCATGTTAGCATTTCCAACCAACTCTGACAGACCTTTCCCATTGAAAATAGCTTTATTTATATTTACACACAATCACAGCTTTTTAGCTGTCAGGTCAACAGCAAAACGTCTCATGGATCACCTTATTGCTCCGGAACTTACCTGATGAGTCGGTCTCTGCCGCTTCGGACGCCCCTCGCCCGATGCTCCCGTTGGGATCTTTTGCTCCGTTGCCGATGATTTGGGAGCCCCAGCTTGCATTTGATACGTCTTTAATTGAAACATGTCCTGTTGAATAGAAGAAATAGAGGAAAGTTAGTAAAGCAGCTGATTGCCAAATATTTGCATTGTATATAAAGATACTGCGTGTGTCACGTTGTAAACTTTACGCAAACAATTTTCCCGGTCAAAAGTCACATTCTGGGGATCAAACGCAGTACCCCGCACCGGTCACTAACTCGTGATGCGGATGCGACAACACGTTGCCTATGATTAGACCGTCTCGTCGTCGTCACTCTCTGTAGTTCACATAACCTCAAAGGTCATGACAATTTTGCTCCCACCCTCTCTGTCCATCCACCGGACGCCATGCTAACCAGACGACTGCTCTCTTTGCTCACCCAATCGAGCTCGAAATGAGGTTTACAAAAGAAAGATCCACATGAGCGAGTTGCTGTATCCATCCATCTAAGTACAGACTCCGACGCAACTCTTCCTCTCAATTTATGACACCCTCTGATTTTTTTTGCGATGTTTGCATTTGTCCGTCGCTGATGTAGAAACATGTGTGTCGTGTTTCAGTTTTATTTTCATTGTTGTAAGTCACTAAAAGAGGTTGAAATGTGTTTGACTCATAAAACATGTCACACGAATCATAAAATCGCTGATTGTGGCACTCTGCAAGCGAAATTCCATAATTCCGAAAAACATTTTTTTTTATAGCGAAGTAAGTCGAAGCAACGTTGCCACTGGTAGAATTTTCCGATTGATGGCGTCTGAATGTTTTATTACCTCGAATGGGACACTTTTGGATGTACCTATATTGGAAAACCTGTTTACGTTGTTGTTTCCTCTTCAACTGAAGGGTGTGTCGCTTCTTCTCGAATTGATCGAGTTGAATTTAATTTTTGCAATAAATTTTCTTGCCACCACCCTAGGAAGAGACTGGTGGTGGCGACGAGACGCTGTATTCACCACTTCTTGCCATCGCCAGCTTAGTCTAAAAATAACCATAACACATGGCAGCGGGGTAGATGTTCAGAGTAAACCACCATGCGGCTCCATCGAGTTTCACCCAATTCGTCTGCTGCAGCTGCAACGCTAAATCCGGATTGCGCCACTGCAACTCGTTTGCATTGGAAAAGCGACCCTTTTTGTGTACGAATCGGCTGACGAAACAGTTCAATGGATTTTAGACAGAACCACCGGTCAACAACTACCGGATCCATTTGTCGATGTATTGACATTTATTGGCTCCCACTTCCTCTCTTACTAACGAGCACACCCCGTCTGCTGTTCCACTATAGTTGTCGTGTTAATTAAATTCCAATTAAATAAGTGTCGTGCACTGGTAAGATTTCGCCCTTCCGTCCGTTTCCTTTTTAGCCCACTTGCTCGGTACTGTGCGGCGTGGCGGCAGATGATGCTTGCGGACATTGCCGTTACGGTCGCTTGCTGGGCGCCCCTTGGTGAATCATTCAAGTGGACGCGACGAACAGGTGTCCCGAGACTGTGAATGGCATTTTCGGTCGACGGCGTGCCAAGTGTCCCTTAACTTTAGACTGGTTGGAAAGTTTGGAAGGCTTATGGACAGTCGAACAGGCTGCGGCATATTGCGTTCTACAGCATGGTCAGACAAGTTGAAGTGAAAATGTATTCCACGTGTAATTTTTTTGCTAAACTTGGATATTCAGTCAAATTACCTATTTCGTCTGTTGGCGTATGATCTGCAGAGATTTACAGTTAATACGGCACTGAAACTATTTATAGGAATATACAATTAGAGAACATATTGTATTATGCATTTGAAACTGGACTCCTCAAAAGTGCGGAATTTTGTCCTGGTGTCTTGTACGCACTTATTCCTTATGAGTATTTAGTTTGCCGGCAATTCGATTTGTCAAATGAGCGATTCGATCTGTCGAACGGGCGATCAGATCTGTCAAACGAGGTGAGACACAAATCAATACAATATAAATTTTACGTGTGTTCGTGTCCTTGCTCATGATATGACGCGATGGGATGAGTAGATGGCGGTAGTGTTTAACGTATTTTAAATATGGTGTCTTCGACAAGAATTTGAATGCAGCTTCCATGAGCTGTCACGTCGGTTCGTCGGTGCTGCGCGCAATATGGAAAACCACTTTAATGGACTAGGACATTTTTGGTTTGAGAAAAGACAACAAACAGAGCCGTAGGTACTTATAGAGCGAATTCGTTTATCATCGGGATTGGAACCTTTTCCAACCCAGTGCGAACTTTTTGTCAGTGCGAACCTGAACCAAAGGAAGGTTTTAAAAACAAACGATCAAACTAACGTTTGTTAGTAAACAAGCAGACCCAATCTTGATACCCGATCCAGGTTGGAACTGAATAATAAACGAATTCGTTATCAGGATTTAGTGTAGTCACAAAGACTTTTATTTTTACAGAATCAATTGATGCCGATTTTAAGTATTTAAGTTATAAGTTATTAAAATCATATTTTAACACAAACGTTAACTAGGGGAATTTACGTATTCTCGTCAATCTAAGCAGTGTCCACACTTCTATTAGCATTTTCTCAGCGTCACGCACATATATGACGTGTCTGTTGGTTTACATTCATCTGCTGCTTGCTTCTCTATCCATTTTAATCGACAGAATTCTTCAAAACTGTTTGAAAGCGTTTTTACAACGCTCCAAACTTCTCAGGTGAGTGTGACTATTGTCGGCAGCCTCGTTTTCTTCGGCAACATTCCCATTAGAACTGCGTGTTAACCAGCTGTTCTATTATCGGCAACTTGAAATCAACCCCATTTTAGAGTACGTATGCTTCATTTGAATAAAAATCTGCCATAACAGGACTGCTCAGACGTACACATACAATCAGATTGAAGCTGAAAGACTAAAGAATCGTTTGGATGCATTCAGGGAAGTGTGTTGATGGGAAAACATAGTGAAATTAACGTTTAAATTTTGGTTGCCGAAAACAGTCAATGGGTGCCGAAGCCGACATTTACCCTATGTTAACTTTCGATTTTTTTCATATTTTACCAAATTTATTTCAATGCAGAGCTAGAACATAGATTATTTTCATATGTCTACGTGAATGAAGCTATGAAAATTTATTTAAAATTTGAGTTAGACCCTAGGGCCAAATACTGGAGCACTAGTGCCATAAACTGCTCACTTACCCTATCTAATCTAATACAAATGTGGCCAGTACGAGAAAGCATCATGGAAAATGATTAGGTTAGAGAACGTCTAGATTTGTTTCTTGTAAAAAATGATGTTTGCAGCATATCTTTGATATGACAAACATCAAAACGGCCAACTCCGTTGCATTTGCCGCTAAGATGATTCGAGTTTAAATAAATCTGTTTTAACAGCGATTCATTTCATGAATCTACAGGGGTGGAAGGATGCGTGTACCAAACGCTGAGTTATTTAAGAGTGAAAGTAACAATAGTATAGTGTAATGGAAAGTGTAGAAGATAGAGTTAGTGTGGAATAAAGAATGAGTAGAATCGAGTGAGCGTGAAGCGTGATAGACCGTATGTTAACTGAATATTGTCGCTAGACTTGTAAACCAAAATGACCAACTCGCGATAATCGATTTTCCTCTTGTTGTGTACGTTAAAGATAACGTCGCATCTAGTGCGAACTATAGCGCATCATTTGACGAATACAGCGCACTAGATGCGACGTTATGTTTAACGTACATAACGAGAGTAAAATCGATTGTCGCGAGTTGGTCATTTCGGTTTTCAAGTCTAGCGACAATATTATTGGTTGGAGAATGTTGATAAGTTAGCAGGTATAAATATGAGGTACCTAAGCTCGTGACGGCATTTTCTAGTAACGAATTTTGGAGGAGACTGATGTTGAGAAGGAAAAGCAGCCGCAACCGTGGCTGTAAACCTCGGTCCGGTCACGACAGAAATATCTTACTAACTGCCTCCAATGTTAGCCAAATTCCTAATTTATAGATAAAAATGGAATGATCGCACCAAAACTGGTCAACTTTTCCGAGCTTTGAAAAACTGCTATGAAATGTTACAAGTGGAGACGTCCTTCGGTCGCTTCTTCTTGATGTGGCTGGATCGAACGATTTGATGTTGAAGGTTTAATTTTTCATAACTAACACTTGTTCGTGGATCCAGCGGTTATGCGAGGGGGCAACAAACACGTCATTCTTCATAATAAATATAAGCAATAAATATAGGTAAAATGATAAACTCCCAAAATTATACAAACTTTTTCATCTCCTCTCTTTTTTCTATCAGCCGCTCACTTCCTTGATGATAAGATTCTTCCTGCAAAGATATCTAATTAACAAGATATCCCACTAATTCCTCATACAAGGCATATAATTCCACCCGTATGTGATCGCAGTGCCATCTGTTGAGTGCACATTGAAACTGTTGGGAGTTCCCCGCCAACTTGACCACCTGGGCTCAATAACTGACAGGTGTCAGCATGATAGATGTCAATCCGGACGTTGATGATCAGTCGAGGAAAGAGAACGATATCATTCTCGAAGTCATCATCATTATATTGCGATATCAAGATTCTTACTTGTTTGTGATTGTTCCGATTTTCAATCATTACCACTTTATACGCAACAGAAACACTTGAGAATACAATCACAATGTGCTTGTAATATGTTTTGCTTTCGAGCGAAAGAGTTTCCAATATATCACCGGTACCAGTAAAATGCCCATAGCTGAGGGGCCTCATAGCCTAGTTAGTAAAGGCACGGTATTACCAAGCCGGAGGCGGCGGGTTCGATTCCCGGTCCGGTCGAGGGAATCTTTCGGGTTGGAAATTTTCTCGACTTCCCTGGGCATAGAGTATCATTGTGCTTTTGCCACACAATATACAAAATTCATGCATTGGTAATTGGCATCGAAAGCTCTCAATTAATAACTGAGGAAGTGTATTTTAGAACACTAAGTTGATAGCACGCAATAAGCTAATATGCAGTAAGCAATAAGCTTGAAATGCGAATAAGAAGAAGAAGACCAGTAAAATGCAAATTTCTAATAGTAATTGATGATTTGCGGAGCTGGTGCTCAAAAGAATCT